AACCACTGGGCCAGGAAAGATGAAACTCATGTGGAATCATCCTCAGGTAGAGTAGATTGAAGTTTGTTCAAGTCATGACCCCCGGGGGTAGGGCGGGGCCAAAATGGCCGATCAAAGTTTTACATAGGAATATATAGGAAAAATCTTTAAAAATCTTCTTCTCAAGAACCACTGGGCCAGGAAAAATGAAACTCATGTGGAATCATCCTCAGGTAGTGTAGATTCAAATTTGTTCAAGTCATGACCCCCGGGGGTAGGGCGGGGCCAAAATGGCGGATCAAAGTTTTACATAGGAATATATAGGAAAAATCTTTAAAAATTTTCTTCTCAAGAACCACTGGGCCAGGAAAAATGAAACTCATGTGGAATCATCCTCAGGTAGAGTAGATTCAAGTTTGTTCAAGTCATGACCCCGGGGGTAGGGCGGGGCCAAAATGGCCGATCAAAGTTTTACATAGGAATATATAGGAAAAACCTTTAAAAATCTTCTTCTCAAGAACCACTGGGCCAGGAAAGATGAAACTCATGTGGAATCATCCTCAGGTAGTGTAGATTCAAGTTTGTTCAAGTCATGACCCCCAGGGGTAGGGCGGGGCCAAAATGGTCGATCAAAGTTTTACCTAGGAATATATAGGAAAAATCTTTAAAAATCTTCTTCTCAAGAACCACTGGGCCAGGAAAAATGAAACTCATGTGGTATCATCCTCAGGTTGTGTAAATTCAAGTTTGTTCAAGTCATGACCCCCGGGGGGTAGGGCGGGGCCAAAATGGCCGATCAAAGTTTTACCTAGGAATATATAGGAAAAACCTTTAAAAATCTTCTTCTCAAGAACCATTGAAACAGGAAAGATGAAACTCATGTGAAATTATCCTCAGGTAGTGTAGATTTAAGTTTGTTCAAGTCATGACCCCCGCGGCCGGGGGTAGGGCGGGGCCAAAATGGCCGATCAAAGTTTTACATTGGAATATATAGGAAAAATCTTAAAAAATCTTCTTCTCAAGAACCATTGAAACAGGAAAGATGAAACTCATGTGAAATTATCCTTAGGTAGTGTAGATTCAAGTTTGTTCAAGTCATGACCCCGGGGTAAGGGTGTGGCCAAAATGGCCGACCAAAGTTTTACATAGAAATATATAGGGAAACCTTTTTAAATCTTCTTTTCAAGTACTTCAAAGCCAGGATTAGTAATATTTGTATGGAATCATCCTCAGGTAATGTAGATTCTAGTTTGTTAAAATTATGATCCCCTTGGGGGTTAAAATTCAACCCCCCCAACTTAAATTAACTTTCAGTTCTGATCTGATATGTGTTTTTTCCTAGCTGATGTGCTCAGGTGAGCGCTGTGGCCCCTGGGCCTCTTGTTAGGAAATATAATCTATGAAAGGTAAGGCGATTATTTACACACATTATTGTCTATGGATCTCCCGTTTGCACGATCATAATATGGTGTACATGGAGACTGGAGACGCATACATGGTACCTAACTGATCTCTTTGGTTGCGTGTTTGTTTGCTTTGCTGTAGATTGTTGAAATGGGCTTTGAGCTTGAATACTGCACCGATTCTCCATAATATTCCATTGCTTCCTACTTCGTTTCGTCTGGAAATTGAACCAACGGCCTACCGATTACGGATTAAGCGCAAAATCATCTGAGCTACCGTGGAGGTCCAACAAATAGTGAACAGTTTCCCTTCTTGGTTACAATGCTAAAAAAGTACAATGTAACAATAAATTCCTAAAGCAGACAAACATTTTTACTTTCAATCACTGGAATGCTGTTTCTATGGATACTCCACCATGAAGCAATTAATCCCCACAGCAATGTAAGGTAAATCCCCCACAACGAAGCAGCAATAAAGCCTAATTTATCTTAGGCTATCCGTGTTTTACTGTCCTTGCGATATATATATTTACACTTTACATGTACTAGTTTGTTCTGTGGCTACATCGCTTCAACCAAAAACGTTTTTTAAGAATTGTACTTAATGTATTTAATTGCCAAAACACCTTCTAATTAAAGAGTTTCGATTCCATCACAAAACATCATTAAGCATGTTAAGCAGGGAAATGTTATGTGGCGGAAAGTTTTTTAAAAAAGAAAATAATTTTTTTTCTCTTTTAAAATAGTAACCGTACCGTTAAGTTGGGGTTCACATTTTTCAAACAATTTCATTTCGTGCAGTGAAACATTTTATGCTGATCCTAAAATATTCAAATAATTCTTATAAAGTCTATCATCATATCATGACAAATATAGATATATATTCTGAAAGTTGAAGAAAGAGTAATTTACCTTAAAACATTAACACTGTTAGTAACATGTAAAAATTTTACATCAAAGACACCCACTTTTTATTCTATTTCCTGAATATATAAGATAACTTTTAATTCAGCTAATTAAAATAAGACTATAAGATTATTTTCCTGCCTGTTGAATTTTTAATGCCAGAAAAATAACATCTTGTGAGTTATGATAAAGACATGATTTCAGTTGTATAGTTTTGTGTGTAGAAACTGAAAATATACTAAATTTAAAAAAAATCTTAAGACTTTTCTTAAGACTTTTGATATCATTTTTTTTAGACTTAGAGTTTACTAGCATCTTCAGGAAATATCGAGCATTCAGCAGTTTTCGGCATTTAAAAAGTATCATCAGTAACTTACATAAGGGAGTATTTTAAATAGCTTCTTTTCATTATAGCATGAGTTGGAATAAGGTTGATGTTAAACATTATTCTGACAGTGAAAATCTCAAGTTTCAAATTGCAATAATGGGCAAAGTTTCATCAAAATCGGTGACAAGACTGCCAAAGAAGTTGAAATGGTAAAAAGGAATAGCTTTCAAAAAGGAATACTGAGGCTTCTCGGCAACAAAATATTTTACATGTAAATGCATATTGTAGTGTTTTGAGTCCAGCATTTAACAATTATAGTCACTTGCAGTCAAATGCCTGCTACATCTATTTCATACTTGAAAATTTCATTGACTTTATATAGACGACACTGGTAATCTAATTACTAAACTGTATGTTATATTTTTTCCATCGTCAGTCACCCTTATTTATTCAGTAGTTCTTTGCTATGACCAGCATTCATGGTGTAAAGTCTCCAAAATTATTCTACACACAAGGTACTGACAAGTTAAAAAGATATGTTATATGCCTTATGAATTTCAGTACCTCACTTAGAGTCAGAATTTTGCAAAATCTCACTATCGTTTTGATGACCTTACATGTTTGTAAATGCAACCTACTATGTCTAATTTAAAGTTGTTAAACAAACTGGAAAATCATTTTTTTTGGTACTAAATTTGACTACTGAATATTCATTCTATCTGATCTATATAAAGGATTCACGGTTGATGTGGTACATCGACAGGGGATACTTGCATACAGTGTACTCAGCAAATATATATATATCTTTGCAATTCAAGGTGTCCCTTTATTTGTCCTCTTCACAAAATGTTTTCTTCACTGGATTTTATAAAAGGTATATTTCCTTCCTTTGGGGCACAAATTGGACACAAATCAATTTCTGATCTGTGCTGAAATGAAATACTTCTTCGAAATTACAAGGTTTTGATTCGTATATTAGAACCCGGTTTTATATCATTTGGTGATCAAAAAATAAAAAAAAAACGGTCATGTTAGTAAGGCTACATGTGTGAAAGACATGGAGATAACGAACAGTATTTAAGATCAAAAGTCCTTAAACAATACAAAATAGGAGCAGAGCAAACACAGACCTCCAAACATCGGAGGTGGGATCAGATGTCATGGAGGAGTGAGCATCCCCTGCTGACCGATCACACCCGCCGTTTGCTCCTTGTCATGATCGGGAAATAATGGAAAATCCGTCGTCAATTCAGTGTATAAATAATGGACTAACAATTAGTATGAAAAACGTCAGTCAGTATATGACTCAATGATAAACTGTATTGCTGACAAGGTCATTGTATCGACACACAGAACTTACGAAATGATGACTTTAAACAAGACTGCTGATCTTCTTGTGTCAGCAACTTGTTCGTCGATAATTTACCTTATTCTAAAAATTGTTCATACATAGAGCATGCTCTTGCGTATCGAATTAACTGAGAGATATAAACTCTGTATGCAGGTGATGAAGGTATATTGCTGCACAAGTAAAGAAAGTTGAGGACTGAAAAGTTGATTTTAAAAAGTCATCACTTTTATCATAGAGCTTGGTTGTTAGATTACCATTACTGTCTTTTACAAGTAAAACATCCAAGTATAAAACAGATGTGTCAGACTCTGTGGTATCTTTTATCTCAAGCTCACCAGGATATATCGTATCGAAATAAGAATTAAAATTACCATTGTTAATTGACAATACCACGGCGATTTATCTAAAGGTCGAGTTGAAGGCCACAGCAAGTCTTTTTTTCATGCATAAAATTTTAGACAAATTCTGCTTCATATATGAATACAAAAATAGGTTTGCTAATAACGGGGCGCAATTGGTACCCATGGAAATTCCAAAAATTTGTTGGAAGACCTGGTCTCCAAAAACCACATTAATATTGTGTTGAACAAATACTTAAGCATCTTTTTGATGTCAACTTCAAATTAATTGTGTGTACAATCAGAATGTTTTAACAAAATAATTTTGTAAATGACAGTTAATGTTAGTCAGTTTTCGAGTTCTATTTTTTTTAAGCAGCTGTTAATGATATCAAGAAGCCTGAACTTTAATTTATCGTGGGGAATGGTTGTGTATAAAGTTGAAAGGTCGTACGTTTTTAAACTGTTGATTTTGGAAAAAATCTTGTGATTTCAAATGTCCAAAAGTTCCTTGGAATTTTTAAGTAACCACTTCTTTAATATATTGAAGTTTCACCTTCACTACTGTTTATATCTTAGTGACGAGTAAAGAAAGAGGCTTGGTTGATCATTTACCTGAAGCCGCTTTGTATCTTTGCTTGTAAGGATTTTTATGGAGTTTCGGAATTCAATATAGATACGGTAGTTCTATTACATTTTCGTCATTTTGTTTGTTTTGGATTTGAAAAAAATATTCAAAACTGTCATATTTTAAAGGGACCTATGAGTATATGTTGGATTACCACTTGTAGATTGAAAGCTCTTCTAAAATACATTTTTCTATATTAAGCCTTACAAACAAAGACAATGATGTTACTTTCTTTGTCAGCAGGGACCAATACGTACTGATCATGTATGCTATCTAACCCCATGTATATGCGAGGAGAATACTCGTTTATATTACAATTTTGATTGACACATAGAGCATATTAAATTTATATTATTCAATCTTCTTTTATCATAAATATATGCATGTACTTATGCATGTTTTTATATCTGACATAATATATTTATATTGTACAGTATAAAATGGCTGCCGTTTTTTGTTGTTACCCATAATGTTTGTTTTATTTTCATTTGAAAATAATGAATAGATTTAGAGGGAAATGATCACAGTTCATTATATCTTCCGGCTTTACTCGAAAGACATGCATTTCGGAATCAGTAGCTGCTTTCTGCTTTAAACATTCGATAGTATTTCTAATCGACTTCCTATAGGAGTGGATTCCGATAATATCTTATCACTGTTATTTCCCGGAAACTACACGGTCAGTAATTAAGATAGAGGGGAATCATCGTGAGTTCTTTTAGTTTTATCTGTCTCACAATCAAACAATGACATTTTCGAATCTTTATACATGTATTTTTTAGTTTACATGACATCCGCAGTGTCCATTAAAAGTTGTCGCTGCTGGACATAAAAATTGTATCGAAAAATATTTACGTAATAATCTTTATAAAACAGAAAGTAATAATTTAATTAATGAAATGAATTAATGAATAAATCAATTTTTAAAAGCTTCAACAGCTGTATCCTCTTCAGAAAAAAATTGTACACCTCAAGTTCACAAGTTGAAAAAGTTAAAATTGGTTCTATAATGAAAGGAATCTGGGCATTGATAAACTTCATTATATGACCCCCTCTTCTTAAATTCATTTCTATCAAAACATCTCTAGATGTATCATGAATTTTTAAATCCTTTTTTACTATTTTATAAAGAAGATGCATGTTTCAGGTAGAAAGACGTAAAGCACAAAATTATAGAAAGACTTTAATATCTTATACATATATATATATACATAAGGGTTATCAATGACTAACCATTCACTTGAGTACTCGTCAAAATGGCCGAGAATCGAAGTATCGAAAACCAAAAATGATATTCAAGTAATTAGACAAAACAGTGCCTTGCAAAAATTATTATTTTCAACCTTTAGTGTGGATTTTAGACGTTGTAAAGTCACAGGCGCAATAAGGTCATTTAGCGCTAAACACAGGTATACCTAAATTGAAGGGTTCACTTTAAGTCTATATATTTACATTCACTGAATATTTTCTCCTTTATTTCTTAAGATAAAAGAACAATATACGATGGTGTAGATACATTTGTGCATATAACAGTATAAGTTTTAAATTTTGATATTGTTATTATTGAATAATGACCGATTGAGTACTTGAGTACTCAATATAGAAAAGACGGGCGAGTGATCACTATGGTTTTGACAACCCTTATCTAGAAATGCTCTTATATCTATAATTAATACATCCCTCATTAATCACACCAATGTCACAAAAATTATTTTCTCTTATGTTTCAGTGTATACTCTCTAGAATGAGTATCCCTTCCCTTCTTTTTCTTGTAGATTGTCCTATATTCTTCCATACCTCATTTAACAATTTCTTATGCTCTAACGCTCAAGTTATTACGAGCCAAGTTCGTCAAGATGTATAATAAGCCTTTACTCAGATCGAATTATAGTGGATAGAAAATCGATTCTTAGGCATCAATCAAACTGCTCCGGGGCTTCATCTTATACATTTGACAGGAAATAAGCTGCCGAGATCGCCTTCATCCTAATACTGTGCTCATGAAACATCGCACACGGCAACAGATTCTAAATTTTCATCTGTATCAATGTCACATGACTGGAATTTTAGAAATCTGGTTTATAATGGATAAAGAGGATTTGAATTTTCATCCCATTTTCTGTTTGTGTCTCTTCCAGCGCTGCTTTTTCTTCTTCATTTTTCTCATTCTCTTCGAGCCTTTGAGTCGTCGCTGGTGTTTTGACTTTCTGCTGGGTGATTCTGTTTCCCGCCGATCTTTCATGTGACTAGATTCCCATCCCTTTTTCCTGTTTTGGTAGTAGCTGCTTCTACTACACTCTTTTGATTTTGTTTTCGACTCGACCAACTGATCATTATTATCTATAAACTCCAAAATGTCTTCATTCATATATATCGATTTTGATCTCAATGCTGAGCAGGTTCCGTCATCTGCAACAAATATTAAGTTCACGTTATATAGTCACAGCTAAATTAATACAAGCTACTAGTATTTTTTTTTAACCACGAATCACCATTATTCTGTTTCAATATATTAAAGCTTATTCTCTAGCAGCCCTCCAGAAAACATTTTTTACTTGAATTCAATATCCATGTCATAATCTGTTTGTTTCTTTCAAGTCCAGCATGTGCTATAGTATGTTACGTTCCTAAGCAGATGTTTCCAGCATTAGAAAAACTACTCTCCCCAAGATTAATAAAGTAATGCTATTGATCAGTAACCGGCCTTATTTTGCTCCGATTTCTCGAAATGTCTATATGCACCCACATATCAATCATTTTGCTGCGCATTTTTCCCCGTAAATTGTCACCTGCGTAGAAACCCTAGGCATAGAGTCAACATTTTCTTTCTTCTTCTTTTCTAAGTAGAGTTTTAAAAATTTTGAAAATATTAAAATTGGACTTTTTTTGTTGGAAAGATTTAATTGATCAACCACATTTCAAAGGGTATCATCGAAGAAGTGTTAGAAACGAGTTGGCTTTACGAAGAATGCATTTTAAAATAGTAGGAATAAAACTCATTTTTGAAATTGAATAAAATGCATTGTACATAAATACAATAATAATAAAAATATTTTATTGTAAACACAAAATACGGTATAATGCTTATTCGAGATTTTAAAAGTTAAAATTAAAAAAACACTTTCACAAGCACAAACAAATTAAATGCGCAACGTGCTATAACAAGTACAGATACTATAGTAATTCAATTCGATAAATTCTTTTTCGTCTGTTTCTAAGATTTAAAAAAATTAGATTTTTAAGTTATGCTTCTCTTTTATAAATTTCAGGAAAAATTAAACATGTACGTACATATTATTAATAAAAAAATAATAATATTAAACACATATCAATAAAGGGGAAATATCACTTACCCGTATAAACAGAATTTTTCAGTGCCACCAACGTCAAAACGAGCACTTTCACTAAATCAAAACAAAATTTCATATTGGAATTTTATAATCATACTTTAGACTTCCCGTCTTCCTCGTTTGTTGCATGGTATATGAGAGATTTGCTAATTAGTAAGGCCCCCCTAATTAGCAGGGAAGCTCGGGGTATAAGTTGATATAAATGACAACATTCATCCGCGCCACATCGCGACTAGGGAACGCAGGAGCTCCTTTTTCTTAACATGATATATAATCAATACTGAGTTCGGATTGAGAAAGAAAATTAACGCTATATGTTTGAAGGCAATGATAACAAATCTGATAAATCACGTCTAATTAATCATTAAACTCCGAAGTAAAAACGCATACATTGTATTCCTTCTAAGGGCTAAAGCTTCTTGTTTCTGGTAGAAATTTTTACATTCTGAGATCATACGTATACTTATTGGGCACTGATTACTTCAGTTTCCATGGGAACTGTTACACCGGCAGATTACCTTTCCAGTATACGTTTATATATTGTTGCATAATTTGAATGTTCCGTGATTTCTAACATTATATTATCAGTATAGGTATACTTTCGTCAAATTTCAGATCAATATAGTTCCACAGGTCCCTTAATCTAACATCCTTAATGCTAATGGTGATTTATTGAATGATTTTCTTTAATTATTAACTGTGATTGAATTTCCCCCCGAGTTTTCCCGGCAAAGGCACTTAATGGAGATGAGGGGTCATAAAGCCCACAATGCTTGCTCAATATTTGAAAAACTTTATCCATTTCCTTAATTTTAATTCTGATGTTGTAATATTTTATTACAAGAAAAATTTATTGCTAGAGGCATATATGGGATTTGATGAACCTCAATTTGTCTAACTTGTCTTATTATTGAAAGTCTCAGGTTCTTTCCGAAATGGAAAAGGATCTGTAGAACACGCGCATACCCCCCCCCCCCCCATTCCTCTGAATAAAGATTAATCAACTTAGATTACTGAGGCAAACTAAAATCCATATCCATATCTAATTGGTTTCTAACAGCAAAATTATTGGCGGAAAAATATTTCACAAAAAAGCACTTTTATCGAACGAGAATCTTCCCTGCCTAGGTTTGACTTATTCGATTTCTTCAAAATCAGAAAATGCAAAACTAATTCTTTATTATTCATAACGATGAGTTGTAAAAAAAAATCCTACTTTAAATTCCAATGTCTAAATACCAAAAAGACACGTTCTAAAAAATTAAACGACAATTTTTGCACTTTACATGTAATTTTCAGTGTACATGTATCTGTCTAAAGTTGACTTGAATAGTATCTTGGAATATTTTACTGTGGTTCTGCACACAGGTGGAAAGTTTTTCAAAGTTATACTAAATTATTCAAGGAGAGCAAGTGAGTAAGAGAGAGACTTATGAGATGAATGTACAAATAGAAAAGACAGGCTTTTCAAAAATATCCTATTTCCTTGACATTTTCTGAAATTTAAAAGAGTGAATGAACTTTTTGTGAGTGGGGGTTATTATCTCCCAAGGTATGAGTGGGTGAAATCAAAACGAAAGCAGAAAATTTCCCCCGAGTCCCCGATTAAAATTCGTGGCAAAAATAAAAGAAAACGTTATTTGAACTGGCATTCTCAGTGTATCCTAAATGAATGAATCGAAGAGGTGTTTTTGATTTTGAAAGGCCACTGAAAACACTGCCGACACTGCTTTTAATATTGCGGGGAAGTGAGCGAGTGAAATGAAAAGTTGTACAGCAAGTAAATGCCATAAGACAATATACAACCGATATTTATTATTATCATTGATTTTTTTTGTCACTTTAAATAGAAAGTCCATACTTTCTGAATTCTTTCCTTTGATTTATGTATTCTAGATTTAAAATTAAGGCTTCGAATATTACTAACTGCCTTGTCAAAACCAACTTTTTGACCAATTATCAGAACATGTATAATACGAATGAAATACCCTTAATATCCCCCTAAAATGATATTAATTTTTCCGATATCATTTACTTGTCTTACTTAAGGAAATCTAGACGGAGGGTCAAAATTGGGGACACTTTAAGAGGGGCGGATAGGGCTATTAGAAGTTATGATATTAATTTTCATTGCAAAAGCTCAAAAACGTCCCCACTGATATCAGATGTATGTTAAAACACGCATTAAACGGTTGGGGGCGATATGAAAACCACCTATCCTTCTGTATTCAAGAATTCAGAAGTGAAAAAAGAATTATATTGATTACATCATCAGTACGTACTAGTACCTGCTGACAAAGCAGGTAACAACATTGTCTTTGTAAGGCTCATTGTACATTACAGCTAGGAACTTGGATTGATTTAATTCTACAAGTGGTAAGGTAAATTATACTCATATTTCCTTCTAAGGAAGAAATTCTTCAAAATCATACCGATAGTCAGTTTTAAGTATTTTTAATATTCCAAACAACCAAAGTAAATCTGAATTACCATATCTGGTATCCAAACTTCACAAAAATCCTTACAAACAAAGATACCTAGCGGGTTCTAATAAATGTTCAACCAAGCCTCTTTCTTTACTCCTTACCATAACACTGGTGTAGGTGAAACTTCAAGACTACCGTGCAACAACATTTTTGATAAGAAGTGTAAATCAGATGTGGATACAACAAAATTCCAAGGAACTTTTGGAACCTTTGACATCACAAAATTTTATCAAAACCAACAGCTTAAAACTCCTAAGAGACAAAGATAAATAGCGCGGGTTCCAGTAAATGTTCATCCAAGTTTCTTTTTTTACTCCTCACTAAGGCATTAACAGTAAAAAAGGAGAAGAGGTCTGTGAAATAATATATTCGAGAAGTGGTGTGAGGAAGGATATGGAGATATTGAACAGTATTCTATATTAAAGTCCATAAAACAATACAAAAAAGGAGCAGAGCAAACACGGACCTCCGAAACATCAGAGGTGGGATCAGGTGACATGGAGGAGTGAGCATCCCCTGCTGACTGGTCACACCCGCCGTGTGCTCCTTGTCATGATCGGGAAATAACGGAAAAATTCGTCGTCAATTCCGTGTGTAAATAATGGACTAACAATTAGTATGAAAAACGTCAGTCAGCATTTGACTCAGTGATAAATCGTATTTGCTGACAAGGTCATTGTATCGACCAAACTTACGAAATGATGACTGCTGATATTCTTGTTTCATCAATTTGCTTGTCAATAATTTACCTCGTTTTAGAAATTGTTCATAGAGCATGCTCTTGCGTATCGAATCAACTGAGATATATACATTCTGCATGCAGGTGATGAAGGTATATTGCTGCATAAGTAAGGGAAGTTGACGATAGAAAAGTTAAAAGTCATCACGTTTATCATATAGCTTGGTTGTTAGGTTACCATTAACGTCTTTTTCAAGTAAAAATGTCCAAGTATGAAACATCAAATGTGGATACTTAAAAAATTCCAAGGAACTTTTGGAGCATTTGATATAACAAAATTTTACCAATATCAACAACATAAAATTCTACGACTTTTCAAACTTTATAAACAATCACCCCTTACGATAACGTCCAGGTTCTTTGATGTCATTGGCTGTTACTTTTTCAATTAAATTGAAATTCGTATATTTACTTACTTTGTCATTGGTTATATGCAAAATTATTTCTTTTAAACATTCTGAGTTTACACACAAGTTCTCTGAAGTTGATGCTAAAAAATAATCGAGTTTCTGATTGATAATATCTATGTGGTTTTTGGAGACCATGTCCTCCAGCAATCTATTGGAATTACCATGGGTACCCTTTGTGCCTCGAAATAAGCAGAATTTGTCCAAAATCTTATACCTAAAAGGAAGAAAACACGCGCTGTGGCCTTCAATTCGACATTTAGACATATAGACGATCGACGTATTGTCATTTAACAAAGGTGATTTCTATTCTTATGTCGTCGATGCGATATATCCCGGTGAGCTTGAAATGAAAGATACCACAGAGTCTGACACATTTGTTTCGTACTATTTGAGAAAGACGTTATTGGTAAACTTACAACCAAGCTCTATGATAAGCGTGATGACTTTAACTTTTCTAATGTCAACGTCCCTTACTAATGCAACAACATACCTTCCTTACATGCATACCGAGTTTACATCTCTCAGTTGATTCGATACTAAAGAGCACTCGCTACGTATGATCTTTTTAAACGAGGTAAATTATTGACAAACGAGTTGCTGAAACAATAATATCAGCAGTCACATTTAAAGTCATAATTTTGTAAGTTCTATGGTCGATAAAATGACCTTGTCAGCAAATGCAATTTCACTGAGTCAAATGCTGACTGACATTGTTCATATTTATTGTTAGTCCATTATTTATACACTGAATTGACGACGGATTTTTCCGTTATTTCCCGATCATTACAAGGAGCACACGACGGGTGTGACTGGTCGGCAGGGAATGCTCACTCCTCAGTGACACCTGATACAGACTCTGATGTTTTGGGGGTTCCTGTCTGCTCTGCTCCAATTCTGTATTGTTTAATGGACTTTTGAGCTTGAATACTGTTTATGGTCACATATTTCATCATTCTGAATTGAAAGCTTCATATACAGAGAGTATGTAAAAATTTTCGAGCTTGACTTTAGCCTTTTGGCTTTTAGAATAAATACAGGTCTTCCATAGGTCATATGCCTTTAAAGTCTTTATTTCGCACAAGTTCTTTGGTCAATACAATGACTTTGTAAGCAAATACTGTCTATTATCAAGTCGAATACTATTGAGATTTTCATGTTATTGTTTGGTCTTTATTTAGGACTTACACACTATAAATTGACTGTAGAACGATTTTTTCTATGTTCCCGATCTTACTTCTAATGCTTACTCGGGTTATGTACTTTTTCTGCAAAGGCTGCAACAGTGTTTTTTTTATTTTTTCACCCGGAAGCAATCCCGAACTTTTGTAACCATATCTTCTTTTCATCTACAGACACCAGAAGAATGATCAGTTGTCATGTATTGGAGTTCTATCCAAATCCTTGTACTGAACTGTCAACTTTGAAGATTTGCTGGCACGAAAATATGACTACTGTCCTCTTCAATCCAGGAAGAAATAGGATTTGAATACGGCATTTAAAAATAAACGATTTGAAAACATAAACGCGATAATCGAAGTGATGGAGATGTTAGTCTCGTTGGCATTTTTAACCAAGAAATCTGGTATTCTTCTTTAATATTGACTTTTTGGTGAAATTCGTGCATGTATGCCTATAATTAATTTCAGGAAAAGAACATATCACACGTTCTGGTTTCTTAAATATTTTCAGACAGTAGAAAAGTGGTAAAAAATCCTGAAAAAAATCGTAGAAACCCTTGAGTCGAAAAAATAACTACTAATAACTGCAAGGTCCGTTATTTGCTCTTTATCAACGATGCATTCACCATGGCTATTTAAAGCTGACTATGAAATATATATGAAGATAATAAGCAGTTTTCAAGCTCGAAAGTTCATTAAACTATACAAATCAGGAGCAGAGAAACACGGACCTCATAAACATCATAGGTGGGATCAGGTGCCATGCATGGAGATGTGAGCATCCCCTGCCGACCGGTCACACCCGCCGTGTGCTCCAATTCAATTTACCACTGGAACAAATTCACAGGAAAAACTTTGTAAGGTTCCAGTTAAAATGACAGATTGCAAGTATGACAAAGTTTATAACAGTATCCAGGACACTGCTATGCCTCACCTACTCTAGATTTTTTAATGTGGCGTATAGCCAAAGATTGGAATGTTTTTACATAAAGTATAGGTAGAATCTAAATTTAAAAAAAAAATACACAAACATGTACATGTATGTAAGCTCAATTACATCTCGACATAATTGAATTCAATTTTATTGGCAATGTTGTTACACAAAACCTTATGCCAGGAAACACAAAACCTTATTTCAGGAAAAACAACTTTCTTCTTCAATAGAACTCCATATACCATGGGTCATAATAAGGTCATCCAAGTATCTTATGGTCAATTTGATACATGTAAATTATGTCTATATAGAATAACAATTGCCATTCCTTCGGGATTAGAGTTAGAGGCAAACACTTACAAAAAAATTTTTCTTATGACAGCATCTGGTGTTTATCCTGGCGGCCATTCAGGGGTTATTAACTTTTTTCTTATAAAAACCAATTCTCAGAACTCTTCATTTTACGCAGTACTTCGCCTTGACATCTTCCAAAATAATAGCCAAACATTCGTCGATCGTGAAAAATTAAAAACTCTAGGCTCCTTGATATCATAGAAAACTGCTTTTTTTTCTTTCAATAGAATGGAAGTCTGAAATTTTCTTATTTTGTGATTGGTCATTAACAAAATTATTTTGTCTACAATAAGTCTGAGTCTACATACAGTTATACTCCTAAGGTGATTATTTAGAAGGTTACGGGAATTCCTAATTGAAAATATTTTATATAGTCTTTGAAGGCAAGTTTTCCAATTATGCAACAAACTGTTGAAGTTCTCAACTGGGCACTAACTATGCTCCTTTATTAGCTGACCTGCTGTTTTTATTTTCCTTTGAAGCAGAATTTAATTTTTAAAAAAACTTCTACGTGAGAAGAAGAAAACACTTGTGGTAATTTGTGGTAACTTCCTGCTAGAAATGAATTGCTATAAATCTAAAGCACACTCATGTGATTTTGTCAGACTTGAAAATTCATCTCTTTAGTTAAGCACTGCTTTGAAATTTTTGAAAATATTTCATCATGGAACGAACTTTCTTAACTCCCCTTATATAGAAACGAAATGACTTCACCTTTTCTGATTTATTCTAACTATCTAAAAACTCTTTTGCTTTACCAAAGACTTTATGAAATAGTTTCAAAATTCAAACCAGGTTTGGGATTTGATATTTTGGATATTTGAAGTAAAAGACTAAAAACCCAAAATGTAAAAAGTATTGTTGAATATTTGAAATTTGAGTTTTTAAATCAAAAATTTATTTATTTATTTACTTATTTATTTGTCAGGCAAAAGAGCTTTTAGATAGTTAAAGTATTGAACTGATGTTAAAAATTCAAATTGGATTAGGAAATTTGATATTTTGGATATTTTAAGTGTAATCCTTAAAACTCAGAGTGTTTTGGTTATTTGAAATTTGAATATTTGAATCAAAATACCAAATTTAAAAAAAAATCCAAAACGCTTGAAAGATGAAGTAAATTCTAACAATCTAATTAAAATTTGATGTTAGATCCTCTCGCATACTAACGTAGCGAGTATGCCAGCGGATTTGTCATCTAATTTTAATTAGATTGTAAATTTTGAATAATTAAAAGACGAAAAATGTTATGGAACTTTAGTTTGATAAGCGTAAACTTTCTGAACAAAGGGTAAATTAAAAACTAAAAAAAATTAAAATATACAAAAATCGTTTTGTAAATTTGAATATTTAATATAAAAATCTGACAAATTAAACTCAGAAACCTGTTTGAAAATTTGATAATTTAGATTTTTGAACTAAAACATTAAATTTCAATATGTATACCAAATCAGTTTGAGTTTTTGAAATTTAGAAATTTGATCTGTCATATTAACATTCTGAAACTCTAAATCGTTTTAGAAATTTTGATTGTTAAGTGTTACACGGGCCTACTATGTTCCTTTTAAATACAGTTATAACTAGAGGTTCTGTGAGCAATGAGCACACTAAATGATACCCCCGCCTCCCCATACGAATATAAAGGCAGTGTTCATGTTTTGCAATGGGAAACCATAAATATATGTGTCGGATCAAAAAGTGAAATAGGAGGTGCACTATGACATTATGTAACTAGTGCTAATTGTAACGGGGACCGTTACAGATGTTCCCCAAACGCTCCCCAACTCCCTTTTGGTGCCATATTCCCTGTTATCTCTATTAAATAAGAAATACTTTATGGAATTTAGACTTAATCAAGGTCTTCCAAAAAAAATACAAAATATATTTAAAAAATAGGCATTGCACGCGTGTTCATGTGCGTAACGACCATATTATCTTGTCTACACTATCTAAAATTTTAATAATATCAAAGCATTTAATCCAAAAGTATTAAAAAATGCACTCATTCGAGTGTATTTTTTATTTTACTCATTTCACGTGCACGCACGTGCATAATGACTACACCTTCTTGTAGGAGTCCCTTATATTTATCCAAGTTCTAAATCCCATCCTGTTTGGTTGAAAAACAAGAGAGTTATAGCCATTTGAAGTTTCAGCCAATCAGATTGCAGCACACGTGCATGCGCGTGATTTCATGAATATTTTCTATATCATATGTTAGGATATCGTAATGCATGACTATGTTTTAAATTTCAAAGCATTTCGTCAAAAAACAAACGAGATATAGCCATTTAAAGTTTTAGCCAATCAGATTACAGCACGCGCGCATGCGCATGCTTTTATTAAAATTTTAACATATCATGCTGTAGATCTTTATAATGTAGGACCATGTTCAAAATTTCAAAAGATTATGACAAGAAACAAGAAAGATATTGAGACTTTAGTTTCAGCCAATCAGAGGAAAGCGCACGTGCATGCGCGTGAGATCTTGCTATTTTGACCATGCCATCTTGTCTATACTACTAATGTATCCTTACATTATGAGTTTCAAAGCATTTTATCAAAAAATAGAAAAGTTCCGACTATATCTATTATATTGGTTATTTCAAGTGTTGCAGTGCGCGCTCTTGCAAGCACGTGCGCGCAAAATGACCTTGATTCCGCAAATCTGCATAACATGTCTACTTACCCTAAAAAGGTTTTACCTACCTCGGACGAACAGTTTACAAGATCATTCCCGGACAAAAAAGTACCCAGGAAGAAGAAGAAAAATAATAATAATAATAAGAAACAGAGTAAAAACAATATGTTCCCCAACTTCGTTTGGGGAACATAATAACGTTTCTCTGAAAGTCTCATCAAATTTCATTCGGTGGTATAAGAGGAAATGCGGATAAGAGATGGGTACCCCAAAGCGTAGCAGACGGACGTACAGACAGACAGACGGACATCCCGCTATATACCCTAAGAAACACGTTTTTGTTTCCAAAACTGTTTTTGCATATGATTTTTTGGTGTCCTATGAGTGTTTGCCTAGAATTCATCAACAATATGTTATAAATGGTTCCATCCAATAAGGCTTGCATATCAATATTCTCTTTTTATGCAAGTCTCTTTATTATACCCCCGCTTGAAAAGTGTAATGGCTTCATATATTTGTCTTTTACCATAACTGTTATGGTCCAAGACTAATATATAAAACCATAACGCTACAGTTCTTCAGCTAGTACTGCAAATGCATGGGTAAAGAAAAAATTTAATAGGAATTTAAGAACAATTTTATTAAAACATGTGTATATAACTGATCATTCTATAAAACGGTGATGATCAAATTCAGGTACATGTAAACTATATTTTGAATTTCTTGTCAGGGTATTTGAACGTGTATACATGCAGTTAAGGTTTTAAATATCGTAAATCGTTAATAAGTATGGTGAAAGCAGTTCAAAATAGGATACACTGATGGAACATAATTGCGTAAATACCACTTTTAGTTAAAAATGCATTGCTACATGCAATGGTCAGAGTTGCATACAATTCACATTCCGTGACATGACTTAATTGACTCTCATTGAAAAACATGCGTATGCTAATGCGGTATTTTTGGGAACAGTTAGGTGAGTTTTTTTCAAGTATATATTTAGAACTATTAGTATTTGAAAGTAAAACTCACTAACATTCAAGTATAGTTAATTTCAATATATTAAAGAATATCAATATTTCAAAAATATCTTTGGCAAGTTTAATAGTTATCTAAGATATTATCATTTAAAATTTAATTTTTTTTTCTTTTCCTAGTAGAAAGCTTTAGTGTTTTTTTTTTCATTGTGAAGAAAGATTAAATTCGTATTACTATGCACAGACACTTGTTTCTATAACAAATTTTTACCATGGTTTGATTCTTATATTATGGGCACATTGTCTAATGAAGTAGAAATATAAGGATCACTCACTATGGTCCTTAAAAAAAGGTTATTCGTTACCTGTGTTAGTGATAAAAAAAGTATTCAAAAGTCAGAGGCCCTCCAGTGTGTACAGCAAGTTCTGATATTTTGTAATTTTGATCGGGATCGATGTGCGAAAAATATCGACACAAAATGTCACAAGACGATGGAAGAAGAGGAGTCGGGAATATTAAAATGTTATATTTACAAGTTTAGACACAATATAGATCTCGGTGCTGTAAGTGAGACCTATCCATGTATAAGATTCAGACTTCTGGCGGTGCTGCATACGGACTGCAGTCTTCAGTTCGTGCATTTGGACCCAAAAATAAACACCGAGGTTCCCTCCCTCCAAAGCATCAAAAGGTTTGTTTCGAGTAAATTATGCGCTTATCATCCAGCTTGATCGAGATTGTTTGAAATTAATATACTGCATAGCGTTTTACTGCAGAAGAGTAATGACAAGCAGTATATCCGATAGAAGCATGAGCATGAACAAAGTCAGACAAACAGAATTTCAATATTAAGTTTTATCTGTTCATTTAACAGGTCCAGTCCAAACACTATTTCTACCTACGTAGCTATTAATAGCTACCTAGGTATTTAAAGCTACCCATAGTAGCTATTTTTACCTACTTTTTATAATTTCTACATTTTGCGGCACAAAGACCAAACGGCGCAACATGGTGAATACCATATCTTTTGATATAGTCACACTAATGATGAATACTAGAAAATTTTGGTCAAAAAATGATTGCTTCCTGAATCGGCAATTTTACATTAGTTTCTATGCAAAATTGATAATATACGAAGTATTCATCTTTTGGCCGAATTTTTGTCATATCCATCATCAGTGTGACTGTATCAAGAAACTTTGTGTTCACCATGTTGCGCTGTTCCTGCATTTGGCCACAAAATGCAAGTAAAGCAGAAAGTAGGTAAAAATAGCTACTTTGGGTAGCTTTAAATACCTAGGTAGCTATTAATAGCTACGTAGGTAGAAATAGTCTTCGGACTGGACCTGTTTAACAGGCAGTGTTATTTAGCAAGTTTCGTTTATTTGTGGGAAAGATGTCATTTATCACTATTTTCTCCCAAGACTTGAAAATCCATGCACAACCTTCAAATATAGATATAGATAAGATATAGATTTATATATATCAAGTAAAAAAAAAAAGTGAATGATTGATATGATATATATAACTGTTCTCTTTAGAGAAGTGGACAGTCTTTTGCCAACATCCATGTGGATGTAGGCAAAAGCCTGTCCAATTCTCTTAAGAGAATAATATATAACTTCGGTAGCCTACATAATGTTTGCTGTTTCAGTTTTTTATGGAATAAAACAAACACATCTGATTCCTCTTCTGATGATGGGCCACAGCTGTATTTTACTGTGGTTACTAAGGGGGACAATGTATGCATGGTCTCCTACAAACTGATGAAGGATTCCCTGTGTTCTACTGCAGTGGAGTCCTACAACCTGACAGACGTGTTAACAACTATAGGTAAATCCCTAACACCTTAAATTATTCTTGATTTCAAAGAATGAAAGAAGTATTGTGTTTATGGATTACAATTTCTTGTGTGCAACTTAGAAAGGATGGTTTAAATATGATTAGTTTTTAACTTTTTTTTAATAACAGGAGAACTAGCAGAGGACAGTAAACTTAAACTTCTGGATGTTTCCCATCAGCATGCTGCTTTGCAGTGTGGGGAGAGTATTGTTGGTTTGTCCTTAACCCGAAGTGAAGTAAGGGTCATCTACAAGATACCTCACCATTCTTATTATCAGATAACTGCCGGCATCTTAATACTACTGAATGAGGAGCAGCTGAAGTTTTGTATCCTTTTAAGACTCATGATACAGTGATATCTAACTTGAAACAGATTTATATTCTTACTTTCTAGGTGCATAGTGGTTTTTTCCCCTTAATTTTGGAACCTTTTTTGATTTCTTTCTATGCCTGACTCAAGAATTGTTTGTTTTTTCACCTGCAGTCTACCCCAACATATTGCAGAACTCTAAATATATAATATTACTGTTTGTCTTTTTAATTTTTTGTCCCTATGTGGTTAGTGCTATGTGGTTTGTGCATAAATAGATGATCATTTAACTTTCCATGATAAATCTTGCTTTTGAACAGAGAAAAGCATATCTGTCAGAACAAGGAATCAGTAATCTTGAAAGAATAAACAAGTCAGAATTCAATGGTTGTAGTGCATTAAGTGATGGTGATAGAAAAAAAACACTCACAAGCAAATTTTATGCCAGGCACAGCATAATTTACATGTAAAAATATAAAGCTTAATATTCATGTATTGTCACATGTGGAAATTGAAAAATGCATATACATGTATAAACTTCATTAGCTGATTTTGATGACATTTGGCCTTTTTACTGGTTTATATGGAAGAGATTTCAACAAAATAGCTTAGAGCTCTGTACTTTATAAATGTCTAGACATTTAATGCAGGGGAATTTTATAACAGAATCTTTTTCATGTCGTCTTTATTAGAATCAACAGAAAGATAAAATGTTAATTACTTTATTACTACATGCAGAGTGCTCAAGGAGACTTCAATATGATTATATATCACCCAGAACATTTGGGGAGATAATTTCATTAAAGGTGAGAGTTTTATTTTAATGCCCATATAAGACCATATCAGCTGTAAAACCTAAAAAAAAAAAAAACCCAGAGATATGTATCTGTTTATATGATTTAGTTTTAAAATTCCATATCCATTCTAGTTATTGTACACTCTATAAACCAATCCTAAAGAATGTATTACTACATACCTCCTAAATACTAAGGATAAAAAGCTGATTTTAGTAAAGCATTCTAAGAAAAATCAATCATTCTATTTATTTTCCTCAAGCAATTTGGCAATGGATATAAATATGCAGATTAAGGGCAGAAATTGTTTACATTACATAATTTTTCTTTTTCAATTAATTATAACCATTTCCAAGTAGTACTGTTTGTGAAATAAATCAGCAAGCTTGCTGGTTTTTCCATAGCCATTTTTATTTTTATATAGCTGTTAGTATGCAGTGTAAGTGTATTAAGGACAGCCTGAACTCAAAATGAGACAAGTTAACAGATTAAGGCAATTGTTAGATTTGTGTAAGTTTGTTTATGACAATTTGATGGAACTATTCTTATTTTTTTAGCAAGTATCTGGAGGATACAAAATTATGTAGTATTTGATCATCTTAGATGATAACAGAATATAATTATAAAATGTCCTGACCATAAATCATCTTGCCAACAAAGAGTGAGGCTTATATAGGTTTTTATATTCATGAAGCACTCAATGCTTGCACAGTATGGTTATCAAATGAACAGACTTGCAATAAATTTATGAATTGTAAAATATTCAGCTGAAATATGATGTAATTTTTTTTATTTGCAAGACATAATCTTCATCACTAAATCCTATTTTAGTGAATATTGATTGAAAGTATCTCTCTGAATAGAAGTTTTAGTAGACACATATATGTCATATATCATATTTTTTGTCATATAATCTTTAATCAAAGATCAGCATTTTATGACCTGCTCACGGGAATCCTTGTTCTAACCCTGGATGTCAGTCAAAGTATTCTTCACTCCAAAAAACCTTCAATATGGAAATTCTCAGATGACCTTGGGCGCCTGGTCTTTCTGGATACAGATGGGGTTTTATGGGTTCTAAATGTCGAAGAGTTTACTTCACTGATCGAGAACACAGTTAAAGTAGAACTTGAGAGACCAGAAAAGTTAAAAAGTACAGGTGACTTTGACACTTATGCTGCAAGCAGAATTGGGGATGAGGCATGGAGGGGTAAACTGTCTTCCCTGTTTCACAAGTATTGTCATGGAAAGAGTTCAAACCAGTGGTATACACAGGACCGTAAAACCACCCCAAAATCAGTCACCACAACCCCATCCTCCAAGTCCAAGTCAAAGAGAGTTTCAGGTTTTCACAAGGTGAAAGATGAACCAGAGGATAGCTATGTAGAGAGCAAGATGGTGTTACCTGCTCTGGACAGTACTTCCTGTCATGTGACTGAGCTGATGTTCTACCATTCTGTAGTGTCACTCAGGTGGAGGATGAAGGATCACATGTCTCTGATGATTTGTAACTATAAATCTGGAACCATTATGCAGGAAAGGTGTGCTCATGTAAATAAAAAAAATCTGCCCCCAAAAAATCAAGTTTTTTGTGAAAGGACAAATGAATGTATTATAAATAGAATCATATTGATAAAATCTATCCTTGAATGACACATTTTTTCATTAAACACAGATTTTTGATACATTATAATTCTTATACATCTATCATAATTTGAGAAATTTAAATGAACATTAAAATTTAACTGTCAATTAAAAATGCTTAAAATATATATCATGAAAAGTGAGTACTTTTTCGTACTTTTTTCTGGATCAGCATTGTGCTGCCTGTTTTGTAGACTGTCCCCCTCAGAGCAGCTGATTCTGTCCCTGGAGCCAGACAACCCCCACCTGATTCTGACCCCCACCCACCTGACGTGTGTCATCGTGGATGGTAGCTTACAGCAGGAGGGGATAGTCAGCAAGGTGACAGAAGGCTTTGTTGTAATTAAATAGGCTAGGAATGTCAGTTAGGATCTATATTGTCAGATAATCAGGACGTCAAGAGATTTGTAGCTCCCTTTGTTTATATGATTTTCTCATGTTGGTTTAAGTATGTCTTTATCAGAATGCTCATATAAACTTAATACTTAAATCAAGCTATCATCACATACATGTATATGCAACATTTTTCTCAATACAAATGTTTACTCTCTAGGAATAATTTATCGATTAAAGTTTTTAAATTAAAAAGTACATTTTTGACAAATAACCAAGTAAAAAATTTCAGCTGATAGTATGACAGTACTTGTAGGGTTTTAATTACCATTCCTATAATAAACACACACTTTGTAAAATTAATCTGTATCTCTTTGTTCACATCAACAGACCATGATGTATGCCGGGGCCAGTGTAGCCGACTCTCTGTGTCACATTAACCGCTGGGGCCGATGCTCTGTCCCCATCAACACTCTAGACATAGGACTCAAACACAGGCAGCTGGACACAGTCTCATTCTTTCTGAAGAGTAAAGAAAATAGTAAGATCTATTGGGAAGTTCCTTTGAAAGTAGGATCTATATTGATTTTGAATATTTAAGTAATTTTCAAACATAGACTTAGTACACCCATTAGTAAGGTTTCTTTGATTTTTGTGTGTGTCTTTTATTTTGATAAAATTACTTAAATACTTTTCAATTAATTACAGTGTTCTCAGTTGATGAAAGTGATCCATCAAGCCCTGCCTCTCCCAGTCCATCCTCCCCTGTCTGGACCACAGGATGTGGTTACCATGACAACTTGATGCAGTTGGAGCCAGCCCTGAGGTTACTGATACAGACGATGTCAGACAACATGGCAGACAAGCAGTCAGTCAGCTTCTCCAGGAAGTTAGCAGACATAACCTTGACCTTTCTGTACAAGCTGCTACAAGACACTGTTACCCTGACTGAATCAACAAAGAACAAGGGAAATAAAAAGGTAAGTCACTGAAGTAAGTTTATGACAGCAAAAAAACCCAGCTTTTTTTCCTTCAAATTTTATGTAGGCCTATTGTTCTTATACATGTAGGTTTGAATCAACATAATGAGGATAATAGCAGAAGTTATTGTGTGCAGTGATGTTTTTTCTTCAAAATTTCAGAGACTTTATTGTAAGATTGGGAAGTTTTCAGCCCTTATCTGTGGATCTTCTACAAATATTCAAAAATTCTGCAAGTACACTTCATGCAGGTAGAACTTGGGAACTGATAACTATTAAAGGTTTTTTTTTTTTTTATAACTATAGGAAGAGGTTACAGATTTGGAGCATTGCTTGGACAGCTTGTTGTCATTTATCTCAGAAATCAGACAGTGTGTCAGGCAGGGGGAAACTGTAGACATCAGTATAAAGAGAGCCGAGAGTGTGACAGACAGGAAGACAGCATCTAGGCAGGTGTCTAGGGAACAACAGAACATACAGGTACATGTATGTCTAGACATCAGTATAAAGGGAGCTGAGAGTTTCAGTAGGCAGTATAAACTGGAAACACCAGAACATACATCTATGTTCTAAGACTTTCGTATCTCTGTGCCAAGACCTTTCTTTGGATACCAACATTTTTTATCTCATTACCTTGATCTTGGCTTTTATATTATTACAGGAAATCTTTATATTTGGCCAATAGCTGACATGTGAAGGCATCAGTGTAGTACAAACAAATTTTGTTTCATTATTCCACAGGAAAGTAAGAAGGATGAGGTGTTGGAGGCCCTGCTAAATAACACAGTACCAGAGTTACAGACAAAACTGTGTTCAGCTGGAACGTCCAGCATGGCTTCTATAGACAGGATTTATCAGAAGGGGATGGAGAGGATCCATTCATACCTTAGTCAGAAGAATGCCCAACCTGCAGTGATTATACTGGCAAATCTGGTCAGTTCTATTTTATTATTCTAGTTATATGTTCCTCTATTTTGTATCTTTATTGGATTTGTATAGGAATTAAAAGAAGAGAAAGTTGCTTTATTTTAAAGGTGAAATATTTGATTTTACATAGGGTGTTGATGTTGACCAAATGCTGTATGAGATAGCATCTTTGACTGTTAACCCGGAGGTGAGAGAGTTTATAATTCAGGAATGTATGAGTTACTCCCTGTCTCCACAGCAGGCCAGTGATGTGACCTTTGTTCATGACCTTGAAAAGGCCTCCAAGCATGAACACATGAAATCAGAAACAAGAGAAAAGAATGAGAGGTAATGTAAGGAATAGTCTTCATTGCTTTGAACTAATCCAAGGTCAGTTTTGCTAATTCAAGGTCACTGGCAGAAAAAGAATCAAATCTGTGCCCAGTTTATAACTTCTTATGAAAAATTTGGAAAATTCTAACTTCACTTAAATATTTCATATGTACCTATATCTGAAAACTGTGACATGACCTTGAGCTAAGTCATTGCAACAAGTTCAAAATCAATGGCAGAAAAAGTTAAAATTTTGTTTGAAGATTATCTTCAGACAAAAATTATTTGTGAGCTAAAGGTTTTTCAGAACCTTGACCCAGGGTCATTGTGTTAAGTTAAAGATGAGATTGTTAGCAAAAAAAGTGTATAATTCATGCCATGTCTAGTATTTTCTAATGGAAAAAATAGATGTTCATATTTCATTCATAGATTACATATAAGGCAAAGGTAAATTGTTTTTTAACCAAGGACATTAAAATTCACCTAGTAATCAGCTCCCAATTTTTTTGCAGTGTACATCAGAAGGAGCTGGAATTGGTTTTACAGGAAGGGAAGGAGGCCAGGTTTTCTCTGTCCTCAGGGGACTCCTGTCCCGGTGTACTGCTGGACTGGGTACAGCACTGGGACAGGGACACCAGACAGCTCATACTGCTAGAAACGGGGGGTAAAGGTCAGTCATTGGGGTTAATCTGGCCTACATGTAGTTAAGTAGGTAAAGTGGTCATTGGAATAGCTTTAAGTACTGGAATTATATTTTCATTTCTATCTCTAGTATTTTGAAAGTATTCTCCTTTTCAACTACAATTTAAGACCAGCTACAAATTTTTCTCAGTTTCTTGATTCCAAGACTCAGAACTTCATGTCTGAGCAAAGATTTCAGTGTAATTATTTTGTGATATTTAAGGTAAGGAAGATATAGACATTCAGCTATACATCCAGTATCTGTTGTGGAACAATAGATCAGACTTACTGATTGAATGGATTAAGGAGAAGGGAACACAGCATGGAGATGTTATACACAGAGAACTAGCTAACAGTCACTGCACAGAATTCACAAGGCAGTTAGTCACTAGAGAGCTGTTCAGGTAACAGGAGTCATAATGACAATGTGAAGTATGACAGGAATTTTTCATCCTCTAGTTGTATCAATATATTGAGTAACTTCCCTTTAATATTTTTCAGACTGGACTGTTATGGGGAATTTGGAGAAACCAACACATTTCTACAGAAGCTGAGGTCAGTAGGCGGTCCGCTGGTCAGAAATATCCCAGAATTCCACGTCCCTTTCATCTGCTTCTGTGTGATGGAAAATTTACCTGACGTTCTATGGCATTATTGCACAGATCACAGGTTAGAAAATTAGAAAATATGTAAGCAGTTTTGTAAACAGTAATTTACAAACATATTTACAGTACAGTGAAACTTGTTTACATATACCAATAATTGATTCAACTGTATCAAACATCTATATATTAATTTACTGAAAAAAAGACTTAAAAGATTACATCAATATATGTATACAGCATTAATGTTCACTGTATTAATCACTGGATTTGTTTCCATGATGTTGTTTTATTTAGATTTTTGAAATTTCTAGCATTTCAGTAGATGTGCTGCAAGACTCTATAAAGGCTCAGAACTGTAAAGCTGAGTGGTTGGACATGTTTGTCATCTTCTACGATCTAGCCCACAGGAAACAAAACAGTAAGCATGGTATCTAAATGGACAACCAAAATAGTGCATGCAGTGACTAAAATATGATTTGTTCTTAATATCTAATTATATTCATACATCTGTATTGACTGCAGGACTTGAAGCTGGGGATGTGTATAATCTAAGTCTTTCAAATTCATCCTGGAGTTTTGGCCTGGAGGCTCCCTCTATCATTACACTTCTACAGCAAGGGCAGACAATCACTGCTTTAGCTACATTAATGTATTCACCTGCAATTTTACAGCAGGTAATTTCAGTTATTATTACAACAAAAAACTAAAGAAATGAAATTCTGTATTGGATGGATTTTTGAATGGTCTTTGAAAATTTGTTTTACATCAAATGCTAATTTTATGTAAACTGTCATGGATCCATGTAATTAGATGTGAGATCCTAAATTGCAGGTTGTGTGTGGGAGTATGGCAGAGCAAGAACTGAAGGTCATAGAGGGAAAACTGAAGGAATATCCTAAACTTTATGGGATGTTCTTCTCTGTCACGTCCCGGGAAATACCCTCCAACGACATCACCATCTACCAGCTCCTGAAGGTGAATACTGGGATAGTAATTTAGTTAGACAGTCTACCTGACTTTTTGGGTCAACATTTAAGAATTAGCAAAATCTAAAACTTCTGTGTAATTTCCTTCGTTTGAATTTTGTGTAATTTTTGTTTTTCTGAAACCAATGTTTACCTCTCTGTTAGAACAATGCAGCATTTGATCCCTGTCGACTTTTTGGATGGCAAACCCTCAACACTCTATACAGTGGTGAAGGTAGGCGGGTATTTTACTGTTTTCAATTAAAAATTTCTTTACACCATAGTTTGGACAACTTATTTAAATAAAAAGTGCTTTTAATTACAGAGAATATGAAACAGTTGCCGAGTTTCTCTCAGGTTGATTTAGTGGCTCGGTTTGGTTATTCCGAGAGAATTCGATACACCTACTACCTCAAACAAGGCAGACCAGCCTTTGCTCTCCTCTCTTTCCTGTCAGAAGAAATTGACTCTGTGTCTCAGGAAGTCTGTCCACAGAGGTCTGTTCAGTATTAATGTTACTATCCATATTGCAGGTTTTATTCAATGTTACAGAAAAGAATAATTGTTATATTTTATTTTCCCCTGTTAGATTGTCTGAGGCAGGTAATGCGGCAGCCTGGATAGGAGTCCGCCATTATCACAATTCTCAGGTGGCGTGTGCCTGCGTGGCTTTTATTGAGATGCTGGGACAGGAGAGCCTGGTCTTACGAACTCTGTTACAGGCTGGGCAGGAAGTGGTGCTTCATCTGAACAGGAACCTCACCAGTGCCGGCGATCAAAGACGGGAACAAGCCAAGAAAAATGACGAGCTTATAGGTAATAAAAAACATCGTTTAATTAAAAAAAATGACTTAATAGGAAAAAAATTATGAATTTGTAGGTAGACAAAATAGTTATCTTACTATGCATGTACATAATGATAAAGGATTTTAGAGTTACATATACAGTGTATATTTAGAACATTTTATTTTGAAAAATTTTTGTCCCAACTAACTAGTCAATTTACTATTACCTGTGGTATTACAAATGAAACTATTTGGTTTTTCAGTGTCTTGGTTATGTGCCTGTTTAGTGTACAAAGGTCAACATGCTGTGACTCTACTACACCAACTTGAGGCTGCAATCAAGGGGTCTTTAGAGAAAGACAAAATTCCAAGGTTTGACATAAAATGAGATAGATTTAATGTGCAGTGCATTATTAATTGAAAGAGTGGTACAATATGCAGTGGACTACTTAGTTACACATGGGAGTTAATTTACTCTTTTTGAATTTTGTTGTAATCTTTGTAATTCTTATTCAAGTTTTGATTGATGTAATCCATTTTCTTTGTATTCCCAGCACTAGTTTTGAGGCTGGACAGAGATGGACGATAGCCGTGATCTTCTGTCAGCTGATGTCTGTGTCCTGGACTACGGTTTTTCTGGAGATGTGTGCTAAAGCTGACAAGTGGTTGTCATTTCTCTGGTTCGCCCAGCTTCACCAGTATTCTAAACAACAGGTAACAATTAGTTTTCAAGGAAGGCAGAGGAATTCTTTGTAAACAAATATTGGTAGACTAATATACAGTTAACATGTAGAACTTATATTCCCTAAAATTAGCACATTTCTTTTACCTACATGTAAGTAGACAATCATATAATTAGGTTACATCAGTATTATAACTCTCCACAGTTGCAGCCCTTGCTGTACAAGTTCAGATGTCCTCACCTTAAGCAACATCTACACTACGTGATAGAGAATGCCGAGTCTAAGATGTCAGCTGGAACCACTGGGCCAGTCATTCAGGGGAAGCAATCCCCCAGTAAAGACGTCCGCTCCTCACTCTACGCTAGGATAGGACTGACCAAAGACAAGGAAAACAGTAAGAGAACATCTGATCTCATTGTAATGTTAACTCAGATTTAATAATCACTGGACATTCAAAAAAAGAATGCACAAGCTAGGATAAAGATATTGGGATGGAGGCACATCATTTTTAGCTCTACTGGTCAGAGACCAGAAGAGCTTATGCGATAGTAATGCGTCCGGCGTCCGTCCGTCTGTCTGTCTGTCTGTCTGTCTGTCTGTAAACAATTTTTCAAAATGCTACTCCTCCTACAGTTTTGATCTGATTTCAATATAACTTGGCATATAAGTAGACTACACTTAGATACATAATTCTGTGTATCGGTTTTTGATTTCGACGAACGGTGTTGACGTTGTTACTAAAAATAGAAATTTCTGTGAAATTCTTTCAAAATGCTACTCCTCCTACAGTTTTGGTCTGATTTCAATATAACTTGGCACACAAGTAGACTACACTAAGATACATAATTCTGTTTATCGGTTTTTGATTTCGACGAATAGTGTTGGCGTTGTTACTAAAAATAGAAATTTCTGTGAAATTCTTTCAAAATGCTACTCCTCCTACAGTTTTGGTCTGATTTCAATATAACTTGGCACACAAGTAGACTACACTAAGATACATAATTCTATGTATCGATTTTTGATTTCGACAAACGGTGTTGGCGTTGTTACTAAAAATAGAAATTTCTGTGAAATTCTTTCAAAATGCTACTCCTCTTACAGTTTTGGTCTGATTTCAATATAACTTGGCACACAGGTATACTACATTAAGATACATAATTCTTTTTATCGGTTTTTGATTTTGACGAACGGTGTTGGCATTGTTACTAAAAATAGAAATTTCTGTAAAATTCTTTCAAAACGCTACTCCTCCTACAGTTTTGGTCTGATTTCAATATAACTTGGCACACAAGTAGAATACACTAAGATACATAATTTTATTTATCGGTTTTTGATTTCGATGAACACTAAAAATAGAAATTTCTGTGAAATTCTTTCAAAATGCTACTCCTCCTACAGTTTTGGTCTGATTTCAGTATTACTTGGCAAACAAGTAGAATACACTAAGATACATAATTCTGTGTATCGGTTTTTGATTTTGATGAACGGTGTTGCCGTGGTTACTAAAAATAGAAATTTCTGTGAAATTCTTTCAAAATGCTACTCCTCCTACAGTTTTGGTTTGATTTCATTATAACTTGGCACACAAGTAGAATACACTAAGATACATAATTCTATTTATCGGTTTTTGATTTCGATGAACGGTGTTGCCGTGGTTACTAAAAATAGAAATATCTGTAAAATTGTTTCAAAATGCTGCTCCTCCTACAGTTTTGGTCTGATTTCAATATAACTTGGCACATAAGTAGAATACACTAAGATACATAATTCTGTGTATCGAATTTTTATTTTGATGAACGGTGTTGCCGTGGTTACTAAAAATAGAAATGTCTGTAAAATTGTTTCAAAATGCTACTCCTCCTACAGTTTTGGTCTGATTTCAGTATAACTTGGCACACAAGTAGACTACACTAAGAACATAAAGAGACTTTATCAATGATCATTATTCTATTAAGTTTCAAATCCCAGCTGCTTAAGTACTTTTCTCTTCCTTTGCTATAAGTTCAAACCAGTAGAGCTTCAGTCTCGACAGAGACTTCTGGTCTTCTTAAATGGATCAGATGAAATTATTCACAATTGATTTTACAGATGAAAGTAGCAGCAGCTGTGAGGAAGAAACTAAGAGCAAAGTGATCGACTCTGATGAATGGCTTCAGCATTGTAAGTATACACCTCTTTATTACGCAGAGGATTATATGAAATTTACTGTTTGAAGTGTGCATTTTGTCTTTCTGTCATATGCATAAATTGTATCACACATACACTTCTTAATTTTTCACAGAATATTTGTCAATTTTTAAACTTTATGAAAAGTTTATGAAATGTATTTTCAAAGTGGATTTCCAACTTAAATTTTTGTGTCTCTTTATACATCAAAAAATAGAAAACAATGAAAATTAAACCCCATGAAAATTATGTATATGATAAATGAGTTCTTGTATACTTTCAGTGATGGATGTGAACCCAGACTCGTTACCTGACGACCTGTTCCAGGTAGTGTTTATCGCCCAGTCCACCCCCTCCCCCTGGAAGGCCCTCCTGGTGTACGCCATTCTCCTACACAACCCAGTCCTGGCTGTCCTAGCGGCCTGTGATCAGGTCTGGGTCAAGTCTTCTCTCAAAGATTGTTACAGAATTTACATGTATTGCTGAATGATCTTGAAAAACTAGAGAAAATAAAATATTACAATCAATTTAATCTACAACTGCAAAGTTTGATTAAGTTTATTTCATCTAGGGTTCAGCAGAGTTTTCCTGCCTCTGTGGTTGGTCTGTTGCGATGATGGATGTGGAATCACATGACCACTTTATAACCAATCACGGGAAGTCTGTGTGGGCTTGGGGATCAAAACACTTTGACAAAATTCTTGGTATCTACCTGGATAAAAATTGGATGTCTACTCTAGCAACAGGACTGAGTATTTTTCTGCCTGTAAGTTTATTCTTGCTTTCTTTAGTAGTCTTGAAATATGAATATATCGTGAGACAAATCTTTAGAATGTTTGTGTGTTTGTTTGTAGGACTCGCCATTGCTTCCATTCTGTCAGTTCTCAGCTGCCCTGAGTGAGAGGAGTGATTACAAGGAGTGTAAAGTCTGCCTGGAACAGTTCAAAGAAGAAATGCAGAGGGTCCGTTGATTCTAATACCCATTGTATAAAAGAAAAACTTATCTTTTAAGTTATTAGTAGTATTTCAGCTTAAAACTTTAAAAGTTCAAAAGGTAAATATTACAGAACGGATAGGAAATTTACACAAAAATTTTGAAAGAAAATACATGCATTCAAAAACTTATTTAAAACTTTCCTTTTAGTTATGATGTAATGATTTGTTCTGGTTGACCGTTTTGATTTGTTGTGGTTACAGATCGGTGGAGTAGACTCCCCGCCTGATCCCCCTGTGTATAAGGCCTCTGATTGGCTGCAGCAGGAGACGTACCACATCATCCAGCACCACCTGTACCACACCAACAACCTCCACACTCTGCTCCACCTCCTCAGACTGTTAGACAGTCAGAGCATCGTACTCGTCTTCAAGTTTGACGGTATTTACTTCCTAAATCAAAATATTTAATAGATGTAATTACTTCCTTAATCAAATATTTGATAAATGGAATTAATGGGCTTTTCTGAGGGAAGGATAGGTGTGCAAATCTTCTTTAAAAGTAACATTTTTTGAAATTACATATACGTGTTGAATCATATTTGTAAGGATACAAGAAAAAGAGAAGACCCTTCTACATGTAGCATTAAAGGCCTGTTTCATTTCAGGACAGTTAAATAATTTGACATTTGTTTTGCAGTTATTGATTTTGGTCAGTTGGCACGTCTTTTGAACATCATTGTAAGTGCACATGTACTGGATGTTAATTTCAAAAACCTTGTGTCCAGCAAAGCCGAGAACTTCCAGGATGAGTGCAGAAAGGTCGTGGACCATCTGACAAAGAAGCACTTGTTCAAAGAAGCCAGAAAAGTGGCCAGAGAGAGTGGAATTAACATGGATGATGTCACAATAGAAGAGGTAAAATTATATGTTTTACCTTGAAGTTCTTTTATCATTTATTAGTACTCCTCATAGTTGGGAAAACTGTTTTTGATTTATTTCTTTTTTCACTGCATTTAATAGCTTATTTGGTTAAATATTTTTGATCTGACAAGATAGATACCATATATTTATATTATTTTATATTAGACTTTGAGTAATGCACTAAAATTCACCAATATTTCAACATTTGTTAATGTAGTAATTTTAAAATAAAGTGGTTCCAATGATATCCATTAAAATTAAATCCTATAGCCTAAGGGTATAATGATTCCAACTGTATGTGTTGTAGAACAAGTATGAGAAGGAGAAGTTGAGGGGTACGTCCCTGTGGAAGGATCAGCTGGCCAGGAGGAGGTTCTGGTCCGTGTGTGAGGAGCGGTGTAGACAACACAGAGTTGCCTCCCTTACCGTGTACCAGTACTTCCAGGTAAACACTGACGAGCTGCGTAGATTCAACTGTGTCAGGACTCCCTGTACAGCTCTGTAAGGTCACTGCTTCTGCCCATTTAATAATTCATCCTTCACAACTTCGAATGACATTTTCTTAGTTATACTGAGATAAGCAGTCAAATGTGATTAATCATTTCCAGAAATCTTAAGAAGGTAATGAAGAATAATTTGATTTTTTCATAAAGGTTGTATAATTATTTTAGTATTTGTAATAAATAGCAGTATATTGTATAACTCAACAGAGTGAAGCTGAGCAGACTCAGGACTTGAGTGAGAAGGCTTTCCTTTACCAACTCGGACATCATTGGATTGAAAACCTGGAGACCAGTGAACATCAGGGACTCGGGGACCTGTTGTACAATAAGATGTGGAGAGCACGTATTGAGAATGCTGTCAATATTCTACAGGCATGTATATATACTCCACAAATATGAAGTCAAGATCCTACATATATTTACATATACTCAAACAAGACAAACATCAGTGGAATTTTTCAGAATTTTGTTTAAGGACATATGCCACATAGTTTAAATTTAAATTTCTTATTTCCTATTCAATATAAAAGTTACAGCTATTGAAGGAGCTATTTGGATTTTATGATGCCTTACAATACTGTACACTTCCTCTAAAAAAAATAGCATTTTCATCATTATACTTCTGGTCTAACTGTAATTTTTGTAAAATTTTTATTGAAAATGAAAACCATTTTGTACTTTATTGTCCTAGTTATGATCAATGTAGATTACAATATTATGATATATTTAATGCACAATGTTACATGAAGGAAAACCCTATTATTGACATTATCAATCCTACAAGTATTAGAACTGCTAGGAGAGTTTGTAACTTTTTGAAAAAGTGCTTTGATATTAGGAAAGAAAACCTTCAACAAACCTGATATGCCTTCTTTGATATTTTATTTTATGTATGTTAATTATTGTATTCATGACTATATGCCAATGTATGATGGTGTTGTCAATAAAATGAATTGAATTGAATTGAACTCCCGGTAATGTATGCTGATTTTTTGTGTAAGAACATCTTAAGGTACCTTGATTTACATGTAAAATTGAGAATACCAACTATTATTTTTGTCATCATAAATTTGCAATTCATCAGTTTAAAATCAATCTGCGGCAATAAATTTTAATGACTGAGGAAACATTATATTCAAATACAAAACAAAATGGATGGTTCAATATGATTAATATCTGTGAGGTCACAAAACTCATGGATATTTCTTGCACATGAATAAAAGTTTATTTCAATTTCAGTATCATAAAAAATTATCAGTGGGAAAGGTGCATTGTAGAGTTTGTTTACATTTTTCCAGCATATGGCCTTAAAAGTACATGTCTGCTTTTTATTTTGGGCATGAAGTTATGTCTGAGATGTATTTTATTAAGAGATGATGATAAGATGAGAATTTTTATGTGACATTTGTTATTTATATTTTTGTAAATGACCAGACTCAGCAGATGTCAGGCTCCATGGAGATGTCAGAAGATTTATTTTCTCTTCTTGAACTAAACACAGTGGTGGGCAGCCCATCGCCCACTGAACTTCTGTCACTGGGCAAGACCCCCAGCATGGAGAGCTCCCCCAACAACCTCTCAGAACAGGTGGATGTTCATGTCTTTTTAGTATTGTTTATAGTAACTTGCTGCCATGGGAACTAAACAGAATCAATTTTTTAAAAAATCATTTAGTGCCAGTTAATATTTAAAAGTTAAAAACTTCATCTCGATAAGAATAATTCACGGATTTACAGTATTAGTTTGTTCAAAGAAATTCAGCTGTTTTTTTTTATGTGTAAAATTTGTTATGGTACATGTATGTCAGGGCAGTATGTTCATTTTGTAAGTCTTTCTTATGCGTTTGATAGGAAGTGGATGCACTACAAGTGATAATTAACCAGTTACTAGACAGGGGACACAACTCTCACAGCTGTAGGCTGGCTGCCGAATTTGGGGTGTACAACAAGGACCTAGCTATTGTGGTGGTATGTACGATTTACCTTATATCTTATATCTTGGTACATGTATTATGAATCTGTTTCAGTTCTTTTATTCATTAAGCATTTAATGTCATATTTCAATTATATACATTGTACATTTCTTCCTTGCTTTTTAAGTAAAGAAAATTTTTTTCAACATTTATTTTTAGAGCTGCATCAGACTGGCTCGAGGTGTAACAGATGTGAACAGTCTTCCAGATGGTGTAAAGTCCATCCTAACTGGTTCTCCATCCAAACATAGACACTCTATAGCCACACCAGTATCTGTACCCACACTGTCTAGTGGTAAAGTCAATTCACCATCCAAACACAGACACTCTATAGCCACACCAGTATCTGTACCCACACTGTCTAGTGGTAAAGTCAATTCACCATCCAAACATAGACACTCTATAGCCACACCAGTATCTGTACCCACACTGTCTAGTGGTAAAGTCAATTTATCATACAAACATAGACACTCTATAGCCACACCAGTATCTGTACCCACACTGTTTAGTGGTAAAGTCAATACACCATCCAAACATAGACACTCTATAGCCACACCAGTATCTGTACCCACACTGTCTAGTGGTAAACTTAATTCATCATCCAAACATAGACACTCTATAGCCACACCAGTATCTGTACCCACACTGTCTAGTAATAAAATCAATTCACCATCCAAACATAGACACTCTATAGCCACACCAGTATCTGTACCCACACTGTCTAGTGGTAAAGTCAATTTACCATCTAAACACAGACACTCTATAGCCACACCAGTGTCTGTACCCACACTGTCTAGTGGTAAAGTCAATACACCATCCAAACATAGACACTCTATAGCCACACCAGTATCTGTACCCACACTGTCTAGTGGTAAAGTCAGTTCACCATACAAACATAAACACTCTATAGCCACACCAGTATCAAACACTGTCTAGTGGTAAAGTTAATTCATCATCCAAACATAGACACTCTATAGCCACACCAGTATCTGTACCCACACTGTCTAGTGGTAAAGTCAATACACCATCCAAACATAGACACTCTATAGCCACACCAGTATCTGTACCCACACTGTCTAGTAGTAAAATCAATTCACCATACAAACATAAACACTCTATAGCCACACCAGTATCTGTACCCACACTGTCTAGTGGTAAAGTCAATTTACCATCTAAACACAGACACTCTATAGCCACACCAGTGTCTGTACCCACACTGTCTAGTGGTAAAGTCAATACACCATCCAAACATAGACACTCTATAGCCACACCAGTATCTGTACCCACACTGTCTAGTGGTAAAGTCAGTTCACCATCCAAACATAGACACTCTATAGCCACACCAGTATCTGTACCCACATGGTGTAGTGGTAAAGTCAATTTACCATCTAAACACAGACACTCTATAGTGACACCAGTGTCTGTACCCACACTGTCTAGTGGTAAAGTCAATACACCATCCAAACATAGACACTCTATAGCCACACCAGTATCTGTACCCACACTGTCTAGTGGTAAAGTCAGTTCACCATACAAACATAGACACTCTATAGCCACACCAGTATCTGTACCCACACTGTCTAGTGGTAAAGTTAATTCATCATCCAAACATAGACACTCTATAGCCACACCAGTATCTGTACCCACACTGTCTAGTAGTAAAATCAATTCACCATCCAAACATAGACACTCTATAGCCACACCAGTATCTGTACCCACACTGTCTAGTGGTAAAGTCAATTCACCATCCAAACATAGACACTCTATAGCCACACCAGTATCTGTACCCACACTGTCTAGTGGTAAAGTCAATTTACCATCTAAACACAGACACTCTATAGCCACACCAGTGTCTGTACCCACACTGTCTAGTGGTAAAGTCAATACACCATCCAAACATAGACACTCTATAGCCACACCAGTATCTGTACCCACACTGTCTAGTGGTAAAGTCAGTTCACCATCCAAACATAGACACTCTATAGCCACACCAGTATCTGTACCCACACTGTCTAGTGGTAAAGTCAATTTACCATCTAAACACAGACACTCTATAGTGACACCAGTGTCTGTACCCACACTGTCTAGTGGTAAAGTCAATACACCATCCAAACATAGACACTCTATAGCCACACCAGTATCTGTACCCACACTGTCTAGTGGTAAAGTCAGTTCACCATACAAACATAGAAACTCTATAGCCACACCAGTATCTGTACCCACACTGTCTAGTGGTAAAGTTAATTCATCATCCAAACATAGACACTCTATAGCCACACCAGTATCTGTACCCACACTGTCTAGTAGTAAAATCAATTCACCATCCAAACATAGACACTCTATAGCCACACCAGTATCTGTACCCACACTGTTTAGTGGTAAAGTCAATTCACCATCCAAACATAGACACTCTATAGCCACACCAGTATCTGTACCCACACTGTCTAGTGGTAAAGTCAATTTATCATCCAAACATAGACACTCTATAGCCACACCAGTATCTGTACCCACACTGTCTAGTGGTAAAGTCAATACACCATCCAAACATAGACACTCTATAGCCACACCAGTATCTGTACCCACACTGTCTAGTGGTAAAGTCAATTCACAACAAAACATTTTCCAGCCACAATAATCCCCACAGACCAACATTTTTACCTCAAAGATTGTGAATTCAACCCCACGAAAATATGATTTTACAGTATTTGTACTCACATTGTCTAGTGGTAAAGTCAGATATTAAGGTATCACTGTACAGAAACTGCATTGAGACTTAATTAAATGCCAGTGTCTGAATCCTCAGTCTTGTGTGACAAAGTCAATTATCTAACAACCACTAGGCCATTTAGACATTCCTTTAAGATTAAGTTAAAGTGTTTGTCCTTCACTGTTTAGTGGCAAAATCAATTATTTTTAGAAGTATTACTGAAAAAAGAATGTACAAAAATCTTTCAAAATGTCTTTTATTGAAACTACCAACCGATAAAGCTACAGTCTCAGCAGATTTCAGATTTTTAGTCCAGCAGAGATTTCATATTTTTTTCTTCTCTTTTATGTATTATATAATAAAAAATTTTTTTAGATAAAATAATTCTAAGATTTGATCTAAATCCATATTTTTCCTTGTTTAGTGGTCAGTATGACTTCTCTTGGAGGAATGAAAACTGATTTCCTGTCCCCCGATAAAGAACAGATTATCGTCACCATGGAAACCCTAGAAAGTGAGCTCAGACACGGAAAGAAATGCTGTAAAAGGATCGTGACCTGCTTCCTGATAGCCTGTGTAGGTGTTATAGAGAAAGTACATATGTTTGTCAGGTCCAGATTAGCATGAAGATCTGTAGACTTCATGAAAATGCAAATGAAGAAGTGATCTTAATTTATATACTTTCCAAAATTTTTACAAAAATAGGAAGAAACCAAGTAATCATTGTCATTATTTAGGAAAAGATTAAAATCATTTACAAATTAGATCATGTGCAGATTTAGAGTTTAACTAAGTCCCGAGAGCATATTGATGTGCATTTATATTTAAATGTAAAATAATAGAGAGAAGTTACAAAAACTTAGGTACTGAATTGCCTTAAGTTAATAGCACATTGTAGTCAGAGAATTATGTCACTGTTGTATATATCTGTAGACTTTGGGTCAGTCTTATGAGGATACAGTGCCTTGTCACGAGTTTGATGTACTGAAACAGCTACTGAGGTCAGAATCTGATCAGAAGTTCCGCTTGGCTGCAGATTACCTCAGCACGACCAACCTTAAGTCAGTGGAGGTGAGAATCAGTGAGGCGTATCCATTTCATTGCTTGCGTTTCTTTATAGTGATACAGATGCAATGTTTTCAGAATGTTCTGAATCTGAAAAATATATATTCCTCATAAAATCTATTTTCTTTTCAGATTGCAAGTTTTCTTTGTGATTCTATTGTTGAAGTTTACAAGGTCATGTTTGCAAATGCTACAGGTATGGTAATATTGCAACTACTATAATAATGATTCTGATTTTTTTGTAAGGCATAAAGCTGCTAAAAAACAAACTAATAATGCATAAAATCAATGTTTATTTATATACGATTAGAGTAAAGTTCATAAAATTCTATCAATTTAAGCTGTCAGTAAGAAAGATGGAGCATTGACCTTTAACCCCTCAGAAAAGAGTGAAGATGCTGTTAATTTTGTGAAGTTGTGTCCTGTCCCCGCTACTCTGGGGAATAAACTTCTGGACGCCATGACATCTCTCTCGGGGGAGGATCAAGACATTCCTAAACACAGTAATATATTACATTATGATTAATACATATTGCTCAGTAAAAGTTAAGTTTTGGAGTTTTTGTTGGGAGTGGGGATGTCATTTCATGTGATCCTAATTAACAAGATACTCATTTCATTCTTATAAATTCATGTAAAATGATTGTGATATTTAAGATAATGATTGGTTCTTGTACAGTTGTTCTTGCCTATGTATGTATAATTACACATGTTCTTGATCTTTGGATTTTATGTACTTGTAAGTTTTGCCTGATGATTTTCTGTTTAAGTATTGGACATTCAGACAGAGTTACTGATCTTGGCACATCTGTGTCACTCCTCTGTTTGTAACATGGAGGGGATCTCCAACGTCCTCAGGGCTGCCAGGGTGATGACAGAATGGATGGAGAAAGCTGGACAATTCAGGAACATGGTAAATTACTTACAAAGGGAGAGAATTTAGGAGCATGGTAAATTACTGATAAAGTGAGAGAATTTAGGAAAATGGTAAATTACTCATAAAGGGAAAGAATTTAGGAACATGGTAAATTACTTACAAAGGGAGAAAATAAAAAATTTAGGAACATGGTAAATTATTTACAGATGGATAATGGTCAACATATATTTAACTTGAATGCTTTAAGATGTGATTTAATTGTTTGTCTCCTTAAACAAAAGATTCCTCTTTCACTTTAAAACTATGCAAGGAATATATTCAAAAATCCTTGCAAATACTAAAAGGTTTTCTTAGAAATTCAGCATATAAGAGTAAAGTAAAGTCATTTGAGATAAAGCTGGTTGATTTTTTATACAGATTAAGAAGACTGAATTAAGATCAAACGTTTACTTATCTTTGTTTTCTTTGAATAGGTTAGACTGTTAACTGGGATTGGACGCTTCAATGAAATGGTTTATATATTCGATTCTTTGAAGCACAATGAAAAGTTTGAGCTGTTACTCAGTAAAGGGATAGAGAAGGTAAGAGCAATGGAACAGGAACTTAAGCTGAAACAAACAACATTTTCATAAAAGAACAGTTACTTAAAGCGAAGCAAGCAGCATTATCATTAATTTACTCCAAAGGATTTGAATAATGTAACATTTAAGGACACAATATTTTCACATCTTTTCCCCATTATTCAAATGCTGTCGAAGACAGAAAATTATCGAAGTATGACTCCCTTTACAGGAGAAGAGTCTGAAGATGGCCATAATAGATTATCTGAAGCGATACCACCCTCACGACAATGAGACCTTTGACATGGTGGTCCACTACTTCATGATGCACAGAGAGATTGGCCATTTATTAGAGACCAGGGCCCAGCAAATTCTCGAGGCATTCAGAGAGATCCCCGTAGGTATGGACTTAAATCCTCAGTAGCTCACCTCAACAAAACTCTGATAAGCTTATAGTACAAATTTTCCTCGAAAACGGCTTCAAATCGAGAATATTTAAAAAGGAACGTCAAGTGGAGTAATAGTTTAGTGTAATATCGATATGACTTTGTAGATTCCTGTCAGGAGACGCAAACCAATCTCCAGTCAGCTGTCCAGTTTTACATGGATGCTGCGGAAAGCTACTGCAAGGTAGGGTTCAGCTTTTTCTTTCATAATTGTAAAGTTTGATGTATTTTCTTGTATTTTTTTGAATCATCATCAATTCTGTATTCCATCTTGTTACTGCAAGGCTACTGCAAGGTAGGATTCATCTTTTTCTAGCATATTAATCATGTAGTTTGGTGTATTTTATTGAATCATCATTTCCATATTCCATCTCATCAGGAAGGTTGTATGAGACACGCCCAGAACTGTATGAAGCAGGCCAGACTTGTGGCCTTACAGCTGCACTATTTAACCTCAGGGGTCAAGGTCATTCATATGTCAGATGAAGAAGCTGACCAGTTCATCAAGTCTCATCCAAAATTCTCAGAGGTAAGGATACTTAATTAATAATTTTTGATAATGGTCTTTTGTTTAAATTTGTGCAATGTAACATTTCTTCTGAGGTGTGTGGTATAAGGGGTTGAGTTTTGTTTCAATTAAAGCAAAACCATTTCAAAGTTCGTTTTTTTTTTTAAAGCATGAATCTTACAGGCATAAATGAACACTGACACTGTTTCTATGTGTATGTTTATACATATCTCAGTGGTTACTTGTTATTTTTTTAGGCATTAATCGTGAGTGAGAGCTACAATAGGACGGGCTGTTGGAAGCATGCTCTGTGTCAGAATGTGGTCATCACTGGAGACTTCCGCTATCTCCAGGACTTAAAGAGACACATCAAACTGACGCCCTCTCTGATCAAGGAGGTGGTCAAGGTGTATGTATTCTGACTCTTCTTCACGATTGGAAAGCTAAAACTAATCTTACTTTTTTAAACCGACTGATAGAAAGCTTTAAAGAAAGGGAGGAGGATTGTAAGGGGCTGCAGTTAGGGGAGAGCACTGTGTTCTGATGGAGATCAGAAGTCACTAAGCAGGGGGATTGGGTGTTTATATTTCACCTGAGTTTAGCAACTATGGGTATTATGTTTTGATGATAAAGTGAAATATAAAATTAAAAGATAATTACCAATAATTCAAATGAAACAATTAAAATTTTTGTGTGTAATTTCAGATTCCAGCAGGATCCTAACCGTTCTGTGAATCAGAGAAATGTGGAGAGGTTTATAATGAATTGTACGGACCTGAGATTACAGATCCAGCTGGCCCGCGAGCTCGATCTGCGAGCTTTTCTGTCAGATTTACAGAAAAAAGACTGTAGTAGTTATATACAAGACGTAATGGCTAACTCCTAACAGCAGACAAGTAGAAATCCTTTCCTTCAAAGGTTGTGTTAATATTATTTTCTAAAATTAACACCTAAAATACTGATAAAACATAAAAACCATGGCAAGCAATAGAGTTGTTTAGAATACATACCGGCACAGTCGTCTTAGCATAATGATTTTTTGGAAGAATTGAATCCCATTTAACTAAAAAGTAAAAGAAGATGATAAATGCAATTTTTAAAAAAATATTTCGACCTTCAATTATTGCGGATTGATGAACTTAAACCTTAGTTATCTCCTTGTGTACTGGGCTTAACAATGTTTTGTAACGTATCAGAGTAACTCTGTGTGGAAAAAAAAATCATGATGAAGTAATCCACATTATTTGAATGGGGTAAACTCACTAAACTGTGACACAAACTAAGGGGTTTGATTTAAAAAAAATTTCATCATTTAAAATAGCTTATAAGAACGAACCTGAATCTTGTATAAAGAGATGAAACATTTCAAGTTTATTCCAAGTATAAAGACAGAGGTATAGGGCACCATAAAACCATGATTAGTGTAATACAAACTATGCACATATTAACACAATGTAAAGAAAAATAGAGTGTAATAAAGTAATGGAAACAAGGAAATCAAACTCGTGTCCCACAGTTTATTAAACAAGTCCAGAACTACTTACCTACGGAGTAAACAATATAGAACAGGAAAATATATCTCTTAGTGTCATTTCAATGCACTGTGGAATTATTATTCTCTTGATGAAAACACAAACACATATGGACTATGATTTCATTTCTGTCTTCCATAAAGCTGCTGTCATTATATTTTGTAGCCTATACATTTCAGAGATTACTGTGGAATCATTTTAATTTGTGAGAATCAACCAAAATTTTACTGACCCCTGGGGTGTTATTTAATGGTTACTTGTATATACAGAGGATTCAGTGTTTAAGATGATGTTAATTAACCAATGGAATCCATGAATATTGGGCCCCACAAACGATGATTTCACACTATTGATTTTGAATTGAATCACTATAGTGTTCATGTAAAATGTACATGTCATAACTATTTATATGAATTCTCCTTGAGATATATTTTTGTAATTTATTTTTCAAGAATGAATTCATGCCAACACAGTTGTATTTATTTTATAATTTCAACAAAAAAACACAGTCATAAAAAAAAGTACAATGACTTGAATTCAAGTATTGTACTTCTAAAGGAGATTATGCCACACTAGATTTGTCTATCTCAATTTTCAGTTGGTCATTTAAGGTGCTTAGATATTGCACTTTAAAAAGTAGGAAAGTCCGGTGACCTTTTGCTATCTGTTTTCATCTGTCATAGTGAGGTATGCAGCACCCACTGTGACACGGGACCTCGGTTATGCGGTCTCATCCTAAAGACCGGTCTCCACGTCCCACAGTGGGATTCGAACCTGCGAGGTAAGGATTGACTCCTTACTTTGTGACTCTACAGCAGATGCTCTAACCACTGCGCCATGCGAAAGACAGGATTGGATCGAGGATCGATATGAAATAGAGGTATTTTAAGGATTGGATCGAGGATTAATATGAAATAGAGGTATTTTCAGAAGCAATATCTTAAAAAGTCCTCTAATTTTTTTTCTTAGGAGTTCATGTACTTTAAAAGGACATTATGTCATACTAGAGTTGTCTATTTCAGTAGGCAGTTGTTCATTTCTGTTGGCAATTGTTCATTTAAGGTGCTTATAAACAGCTATAAATAACTTGTAAGGTATGTGCAATACAGAATGGGATTCTTTATGGGATGCAATTTAAAGATTAAAAAAGATGTACCAACAAATTTGATAATAAATACTTTTAAAGGATTTAAAAGAAATATGTTTATTATGAATCCTGTTTCCTTTTAGAGGACCAAGAGGAGGTCCTTTTTTACCAAGCAATATTTTAGTAAGTTATAAAAGTGTCACATATGAAATCAAAACTAAATTTAAAAATAGAATCAAGGACCTATACATGTATATACTTTATTATAGTATTTGGATCCATGATAAAATTGAGTGGTGTGCTTATTGCGTTTAAGAATTCGGACCCTAAATTTAATGAAATGAATTATTTAAGGCCATTAAAGTGAAATGTTAAAGCATTGATATGAAGCGAGCATGAATCATATGTCGTGCCAACAAAACTAAAGACAGCCGTGGGTTGTCCCTGGCGTTCTACCCGAACGCCCAGTAACTGAGGGAGACTGAGTCAGACTCGTTATGACTGTCTGTGTCAGATTAAAATCTCCTCTGCGTCCCGCAGAGTACTGCAATATTTATGTAATCAATAATTATCAAATTAATGACCGAAAAACAGACTGCATCATATTTATACCATGTGTCTTTTAGTAGAAATTTTCGTAATAGTGTGCAAAAACGATAAATTAGAAATAAATAAATATTATAATGACTTAATTATACATGTACATGTTATTTAAGTGAAATTATGAAATGCACAACAGTATTTTACATATCGCTATATTTTCTATTCGAATATCCATAGCCTTCTTCTTAGTGTCTCAGAACCTACTGCGACTGTAATTATAAGAGATTCTTACATCTGTTGACTTATTTTGTAGTTTTATCTGGAATCCAAATGTTTATGTCTTGCAAAGGAAGAAGATAATTTCAGTAACAATACTTTTTTTTATATTAGATAAACAATGTTGACAGTAATTCAATTTTAAGGGGGGATATATAGGCCTGTAAGCCTAATCCAGGCTTATTGATCCCCTCGCGGAAGAGAGGACTACAGAAATATGCTTTTAAAAAGATTTTTTGTCTCCGATCTTTGAGTGAACTATTATCAGTGCCCTTCTGGGAGGAAAATTCAGTCAAAGCTAGAGAGTAATGTGTAATAAACATTGATTCACATTACATTAATATCATCCATCGTTCTACTAAAACACGTAATTAATTAAAGGTACAAAAAATTATATGAATTCCGAAAGTTCTAAATGATTCGTTAAAAAGAATTGTTAAATTTGATGTAAGACTGATTAAATTCATTTAAAGGGTCCTTTATTTGAGGCCATATAAACCTAGGTCCCGTGTCGCAGCTGGCCCCACTCTCTCACTGCTCAAATAAGTATTGAGTGCAAGTCTAAAACAACATTCCACCTGAAAGTTGTGGCGTCTCATTGTGATTTGAAAAATTCGCAAAAGGACCTTAAATAGACAAAATAAATCGTTTAAAAGAATTCAACACTTTTTTTTATAATAGTTATATCTATACATGTATTATCCACCCCCGCCTAAAAAGTGGAAGGGTACTCAGTATATAGTGATCGGGATGCTCGTCCGTATGTCCGTCCGTCCGCTCGTCTGTTACGCTTTGGGGCACCTATCTCTTATCTGCAACTCCTCTTACAACTGAAATTTAATGAAACTTTCATTGAATCTCTGTAACATAGTGGCATTGTGTATCTCCTCCATGGCATTCCACCTCTGATGTTTTTGGAGATCCGTGTTTGCTCTGCTCCTGTTTTGAATTGTTTAATAGACTTTTCATCTTGAATACTGTTCGTTATCTCCATATGTTTCATCTTATAATATATTTAGCATTTTGATCGGACACATATTGCGGTATTCCTATAACAAAACTCGGTTTTAACTCTTTATTTCTTTATGCCATATGGCACATCAGACAATTAATATAAACAAAATATTTATATTCAAATTTTTCAGTTATATAAATAAATATTTACATACTAATATGTTGCAAACACTTTAGTACTATTCTTCATTGTGAAGCACTGAACAAAATTCTTCCCAATTTAGTCATTTCTTTGACATTTTGAACACTTAACAATCTGAGATACTTAGTAATAAACAATCTGTAAACTTATTAAATTTTATTCAGTGGTATAGGAGTTGCGGATAAGAGATGGGTACCCTCTAATGTTAAAGAGGAATGGTCATGTCCATGTTTTGCTCTGGAAAACCCAAAATATGGATTGGATCAGAAAGTAAAATAGGAGGTCACAAAGGCACTATATGTAACGAAGATTCTATAAAAGTTTCATTAAATTTCAATCAGTGGATAAAGTTGCGGATAAGAGATGAGTATCCCAAAGCATAACAGATGAACGGACAGACAGACGGACATCCCAATCACTAAATACCCTCTCATTTGTCATGCAAGGGTATAATAATTCAGTAATGATTGAGAATGCATTGTCGTCATAGTTCCCACAACTGAAATGATTATTTTCAAAAGTAGTTGCATGAGAATGCTTTTGCAAACCAAGTTACAACCTCTTTTGAATTATAACTATTGTTATCCTTGCATATCGTGTATATTTGTTTGTGGGTGAGTTAATTCTGTATGAATCGTCATCTTCCCTTACTTATCCGACAAGGAGCACACGGTGGTTGTGACCGATTGATGGAAAATGTATTCCCCTCCATGGCACCTGATCTAAATTAAATTTTTAAAGAAGTGTGTTTTTGTTCTGCGTGGTTTGTATTGATAAATGGACTCTTAAGCTGGATTACCGTTTGTTATCTAATGTTTCATTTTAAAGTAAGTCTTCTGTACTGACCCTAAGAGAAAACCTGAGAAAGCCTCTTTCTTTACTTCTCACCAAGATGTTGACAGTAGTGAAGGAAAATCTTCAAGAGTACTGTGCAACAATATATTCAAGAAGTGGTGTTAATCTTGTCCAAAGAAGTTTTGGATAATTTGAAATCACAAAAATTTATCAAAATCAACAGCTTACAAACTTACGACTTTTCAACTTAATACACAACCGTTCCACACGATAAATTTAAGTCTAGGCTTTTTATTATCATTGACATCTGCTTTTTCAATAAAAATGGAACTCCTAAATTTACTTACCTCGTCATTGGTCATTTGCAAAATTACACACACAAGTACTCTGAAGTTGACATCAAAAAGATGCTTAAGTTTCTGATTGACAAAATCTTTGTGGTTTTTGGAAACCAGGCGGTCTTCCAACAATCTATTCAAATTCACATGGGTACCAGTTACGCCCTGTTATTAGCAGACATATTTTTATAGTCATATGAAGCAGAATTTGTGCAAATTCTTATGCGTAAAAAGAAGAAAACACTTGC